TTGGTTGTCTCAATGGTTCAAGAGAATAGACTGCAAGGATGGCGCTACTACAGTAGAAGCTAAATATGGGGAATCTGCAGACATTCCCGAATTCTCATTATTTGATTTGGATAACATTTGGAATACGGACGGGGTAGGATGATGTATTGTACCACTGCAGAGGGTTCCCTGAGCAACAATAGAGCTGTTTTGAACTACCAAGACACCCAGAAAAAGGACAAAATGTAGCCGTTGCTCAAGGGAACGAGTACCGGGCTTTGTTTCATCGGGATGAATGGAATTGCTAGCTTGTCTGTTCCTGCATTAAACTGGCGAAAAATCCCGAATGGTTTCTGATGTTTTTGTGAACTGACTGCTGCCGTAAAATTCGGAACTTTAACGGAAATGGAGACAGCTTCTATTGCTTCGAATTACTAAGTCAGAGATTCCGACTGCGAATCTGATAAGAAAATGCAGTTAGCCATTCTCTCCTGTTCCGACACATCTTTAGTATGGCAGAAGGGCAGAAAATCATGAAGATTCTGAGGACAACGCAGCTCAGAAGACTGGGGAAGGCAGAGGGGAAGTGAGATTTACAAACTGGGTCGGCTGGCGCGATGGGACAGACAACGACAAACAGACAGCTGATGCGTGAGAGGGGTGGGCACCGAGTTATGGTAGGCTGCGAGGAAGGGGGAGGGAAGGAAGAACTGTTAGGACTCCCTGTGTTAATTTCGTCTGACGATGGGTCGGCTTCACCGACTTGAAGATTTACGAGTACAACTCGATTTTCCGAAGAGCCTTCTCTTTTTCATTATATCACCTTGGAATGCAACCACATCAGTTATTCATATATATTAATGTTTGTCCAGTACAGCTACTATCGATACGGGACGTGGTTTAGATGGTCTCTCATTCATTATTCAGGCCGTTCAAAATTGCCTGAAAATGATGATTACAAATCAGTCTGCGGAAATGTCAGTTCATTTTAGGTCTCGGGGTTTTCCGGATTTCGTTCCATCTCGTTATCTGAGAATGTGCTGGTCGGGCCGTAGTCGTCTAAAATTGTTACATCTCTCCAAGCGTATTAACCCTCTTCATGGAGTCAGAACGTCTAAATGGTTATACAGGATTTGTTTACTTAAGCAACTATGCCGACCTTCACGATTTGCTCTGATATCACAGCGTTGGTTACTCCCTGTACAAGCCGGTCATATGGTATTGAAAAAGCTGAATAAGGACGGGAGAGATGGTAAATGATTAGTTGTCGATGTTGCCAAATGGCTCAAAGTGTTCAGGACAGCACGCAATTTTGACCAAGTGGTAAACACCAACGTTTCCATCAACAACGGGCATAGAGTTACTCAGAGCACAGAATTTACAATCAAACTGACGAGCTAGTCAGAGACTTTTTTCAAGTGTTGTCGATGG